ACATTGCAGCTCATATTGCTTTAAATAGAAAGAAAATTTTTGAAAATCGCATTGAAATAGGTAAACAAAGCAACATCAGGTCGGTAAATAAGCTGTGTACTAGGTAATTCTACCTTAGTAACGTAGCTATATCTAGTGGTTGTACTGGACATGTCTGTAGCTTACTCTTTAACTATATGGTCTGTCATTGCTTACAATTACCTTACAGTATATCTTTTAAATCAGGAATGGATTATGTACCTAGAGATGAATGATGGGATGATGGAGTAGGAAAAACACCATCAAACAACGGAAAAAGCAGCTATGGTGAAGAAAGAAGTGATGGCATTCAGCCAGGAATCAAAACACTTAAAATCCCAGTTTATGTTTATGTTTATGCCCTTCAACAACATGTAATTAGTGCATGACATCACCAAATCCACTGGATTTCACCTTTCTAAATCCTGAAGCGTATTAAAAAGCTAAATATACAAAGTCCAGAACCATGTTTTCAATTGGCTATTTCTAATCATGACAAAAACTTCATATACCAGTATACAAGATTTTTAGGAAGGAATACAGAAAACGTTTTGAAATTTAACATGCATATGTGCGTGTACTGCTTTTGACATGTTGGCCATGTGGAGCTTGACCAGGCAAAGTCGCTTTTTAAAAACACATCAATGGATGGATATTAAAAAAGGCACAACTTCCCAAAGTTCCCTTTTTACAATAGTGTTGACTATCATCAGAATCTCTGAAGAGTTTTGATGTGAAGTGCAGTATGGATCAACCTATCTGAGGTGTGAACAAAATTTAGTGTCAACGTGATTATGTCCTCCAATATCAAGTGTGTCACAGTGTGCTGCTGCAGTATCATGTTTTGGGAATACTGTGTTGAGTGACATGCATGAAGCATTGAGTGTGTATAATTATTTCGTTATCAAGATGATGAATGGATTAGTAAGGAGGAAAGGATATTGCACTTTTCATGTGGATGATACCTAAAATCCTGAAAGGTAAGCAATTAAGACAAACTAATGGACTTTTACGAGAAGCTCTGACTTTTACAGTAGACGAATTACTCTCACACTTGGACAGTGTACGGAAGCTCTATTACAATGTAAATATTTAGCTCAAATTTAATTCAACGAAAATAACGGTCTATTTCAAAGCACAGCTAAGTTTTCCTTGAAGAAAACGACAACTATTCTACCCTCAAATCCAGGTCTTCACATATAAGTTCCCCTATCACCATTGATATGACCACTAGAAAGGGTTTCTTTTCCATTATCAATTCTTTACCTGTACCTCCGTAAATGTGAATGTTTAAATGTCCAAGTAAACAGTAAACTGTAAAAGTCAGTGCTTCTCTTAAAAGTCCATTAAGAACAAATTAAAGACTCATCCACGCTTAACACATGATGAATTAAATACTATTGGTTTTTTTTTTATAAATTGGATCTTATTCGAAAGTAAACATGGTAATTAAGCAGAAAAAAAAATCATCCTAGCTAATTAAAAGCTTGCCAGAATGATCACATGATTTCATAGAATATCAGTATAAATTTGAATTATCAACTCTGAGCTTTTGATCATTTATTTTTGAAATTTAAATTACATTTTGATCATTAATGGTCATTAAAGAATGTGTCGGATATTTATTTATAATCACTGAATATTTTCTTTTTAAAATCATATGAAAACTGGATTGTTGTCATTTCCAGCATTTTTGTAAACAATTTGTCCATGTATGAATGCACAGCACACATCCCTTGGCAAACTTAAAAAAAAAAACTACTCGAAGAAGACCTGATCGATACAATCCCTACATTAATTTAGCTCTATACAGCTCTATACAGGTTAAATTTCCTACATTTTTATTTAGCTATCTGAACTATGTGAAGTTAAGCTTTATTTAGCTGTATGCTCTACCTGTATGGAAGTGCTACCTATGGACTATTGTCACTGCGACAATATGGAAAGGTATAATGCCCTGATTGACCTGATTCCATATATTTACTGAAATAAAGAGTTTTTATGTGCATTATTGCATTAACAATATTATTTTTATTGGAAATTGTGAATATTATCATTTTCAATAAGCATCATCAAAAAATGCCAAATAAAATATTTTTATTTAGTTTTTATTTGACAGAGAAAATTGACAGGTGTATAATGTCCTGATTTTAGGGAATAATGAACCGATGACCTCATAGTATAAAAACTTCTAATAAACCCAACTTAGCAATACAATGTATTAAAGCTGAAAATTTACAATTTGATTAAATAACTTTTAAGGATCATATATAAAAGTAGTTTAATTCAATGTGGGCAAATTTATCTATTGTATATTTTTGGAAATCGCTTTTGAAGTTTGCAAGGGGTATAATGTCCTTATTTCTGAATCCCCAAATAAATGCTAATTGACCTTTATTGACATGTAAATGTGTGATTTAATTAAGTGCTTCATAATCTTAAGATACATAATCTTAATGCAGATATTAGAAAAAATATTGAAAAAATATATATAGTGATTTTTTGAGAAAATAAAGGCATATACAAATGAAGCATATTGATAGCATTGATGTAAAAAAAATGCATGCATACATGTGATAATATATTATTGGAGAATTATTCATAATATTTGATGATTCTGTACTGGAACTTACAGTCTTTGTATTTTAAAGGAAAATGATTCTAAGAATTTTATTATACATGTAATTAATAATAAAAAGAAATGTTGATGACCTAGTTGTTGATATTTTTAAATGACCCGATACATAATCTGATGACCTAATATTTTGGAATTACTTGAATGTTGGATATCTTTTAAAACACAATTAAATTTGAATTTATATAAATAAATTACTTTAAAATCATTATTGGCTTCAATTGAAGAAAAATTTGCATTTTTAAATAACCATATCTCATGTTCCACACATCCCAAAAAACTTTTTATTTTCGAATGATCCCATATGTTTTCACCAGTGAGATTATTGAAAGAGAAAAAAATTAAACCTGAAAAACGACACCAAAGTTTTAAAACATTTATTTCCTCCAGGTATATTTAAAAATCTGCATTTTTTCTTGCATTTGGAAATTAACATTTCCCCTCCATGCTGTCTCTCATAGTTTTTGTTCATTAAAATGAAATTCATTAATTTTTGCAATGCTATCAAAGTTACTTCAAAGATTTTTTATTGTGTCCAAAAGAATTTAGCACAACATTATAAAATGCATGACAATGAGGTCTACAATAAAATGCATGATATTGTGTATTATACATTTTGTGTCACTTAAAAATATAAATAGAATTAAGACCAGACACTTGTTTGACAGTTTCTATAATTTATCTTTGATCTATGGTACTATTTTAATGATAATAGAATGGATCAAAACTTTATTATAGGAAAAAGTGTCTGCAAGTGCAATGAAAACTGATATAATAGAATTAATTAATGAACATCAAATTATTAGGGAATTCTTCATATTTTCATCATCTTCAATGAATGAGTATAGGCAATAGGTATGGAAATCAGGTCATTAGCGAAAATCAGGGCATTCAAAAATCAGGACATTATATCCCTTGTTAACTTTAAAAGTGCATTTAGGGAATTAAAAATCGATACTTTTGAAAATTCTATTTGTTAAACCTTTATTTATCTTACTAGATAAATTGGATTTGAAAAATGAAACAAATATTATGAACACTTGCTTTAATTTATTATAGGTTTTCATTTTATCAGGTGGTCAGGTCATTATTTCCTAAAATCAGGACATTATACCCCTGTCAATTTTCTCTGTCAAATAAAACTAAATAAAAATATTTTATTTGGCATTTTCTTAATGATGCTTATAGAAAATGATAATATTCACAATTTCCAATAAACATAATATTGTTAATGCACATAAAACTCTTTATTTCAGTAAATATATGCAATCAGGTCAATCAGGGCATTATACTATCAGGGCATTATACCTTCCCCGACCATATAACTAATTAGCAAAATCATACGTGATGGTCACTAAGAATTTCAGTTTTTCCATTTGTCAAGAATTTTAAAAGAAGACTTAAATCATAAAATGCTTTAGTCCTTATACTGAAAAATGTAATTATTACCTAGGAATACTTGAAAAAAAGAAGAGTGAAAATTTTTGACTTATTTTAGAAAAAAATCCTAAACCTAATTAAATCAATTAAATTCTAAAATTGATTGGATTTATCTTCTGAGAATAACATTCTAGTCACCTGAAGTTTGTTTTTATTTTGTTTTCATTTTTCTTAGCCAAATTTTTGATGCTACATTCTAGCGACTACTGGTCCAAAACAAATAAGGCAAATGTAAACAAATGGTTAACATCACTTGTTTTGTGCCCTGATGTTCAATAAAGCGTCTAGAAATATTTTAAATAACAAAAAAAAAATAAATAAATAAATAAACAATCACATGGTAAGTTAAAATATCAGATGAAATAACCATAATTTTCATTGAAATTGCACTGAGTACTTATATTAAAATTTGCATATATTTAAAATGAAAGTAAAAATATTCTGTGACTTGAAAAGTAAAACAGGTAGAAGTATGAACTTTGAACATGGATTTCATCTAATTTTTATTTGTTTCATTTACAAAAATGTATTTTTTTGTATTAGATTTAAAAATTTTTGGTGAAATGGAAAGAAATTTTGACTTTTATTACCATTGTTTATAGCTTATTACTTATATTTGCATTCTATGATGTTGTCAAGAATATCAGAGGAAATCCTGGCTTACATTAGGAAATGGCTTGTTGTCTTCAGTAAAGAAAAACACACGGCTATAAAATTACACTGTAGTAACTGTTATACCTGCTCATTGCACCTTTTCTCTATTAAACATGTTAAATCACAAACAATTTATAAAGTATTTGTCTCTTAATTAAAACACATTTATTTGGATACAAGCTACTCCGTCGTCACTGTGATTCTCTTAATTTTTGTTTTGATGCAGATTGTATTATATAATTTCAGAAAGCAGTGATCAACAAAACAGTGTTGAAGGACATGAGTAACAACTTAATCATGTTAATATCATGCCAATGGATATTTATAATACTCACTTGTTACTTGATGTATGGGATAATGTCAGTGGTAAGAATAAAAATGATCCTTATAATTATCTAAATTTATCTCTTGGGAGTTGGGCAAAAAGAAATGGCCTTTTAGTAGCTTGTGTTAATTAAGAGTTCTTGATGGCTGTAGTTTAGATAAAGATCTTTCAATTGGTGTAATGTAATTAAAACAAATTGATGTTTTAGTGAATGATTAAAACTGAAGGTGTGTTCCCGTTTTGCACACATTTGGTAATTAGTATAGAACAATAGGTGTGAAGTGTGTTTTGATAGCAATTTCTGGTTTGGATTTACCTAGATTTACCTCTGAATACCTGATTTAGCTAAATGTATTCTTAAGAGGTTTGTAACAATTTTATAAGCATTTTATTTAAATTATATATATATTTATGGGAAAATATTTGATTTATTGAATAAATTATTAATATTTGTTTAATATTATTTATTATTAAGTCCAATTTCTTAAAGAAATAATACGCACTTTTCAATCTTGATAAAATTCTAAATGAATTAAAGATATATCATATAATAAAATAGAAAATAGTGAATAAGAAGTAATTTGAAAATAATGTCCAAGCCAAGAAGATGTTAAGATCATCAGATAATCAAATTTATTATATGATTGAATAATTTCCATCTCTCTGATGTGCTGATATCCAACTATGTTAGAAAAATACTACGTTGTATTGACCTGCACGTGACGTTCCAGGTCAATACAAGGATTTATTTCCTCTACATTGATCCAAAAATAGATTGGGAAATTCCAAATTGATACAAATTGTTTTAAAAAGCTATTTCTACGACTATGATTTTTTTATGTAAAAAAAAAAACATAAGCGAATATATATTTTAGTGTGAAAATGGTAAGAGGGGATGCAGGGACCCACGTCCAACACTTTAACTGAACAACATGTTTTTTTTTTTTCTTTTTCGCAGTCAGTTTTCCCTGATAATAAAAACTCCTTCCTTTCAAAATCTATCCTATGAAATCACTGACATATTATTTTGTTCATGGCAACTAAAATTGATAAAAAAACCATTTCAAATTAATATGACTGGTAAGGTTTATTCACTTTTTAAGTCTGTTTCTCTCTTGTATTTGGCTAGGACTTAATTAAATGCAAGTAAACAAGTAATGAGCTGCATCATTTTATCAGTGAATCATACAATAATACAATTATTGCTGCTTTTGAGGTCAATACAATGATTTAGCCATCTTCGAAGTACAATATTCACCTCGCCCTTCGGGCTCGGTGAATATTGTACTCCTCAGATGGCTAAATCATTGTATTGACCTCAAAAAGCAGCAATAATTGTATAATATCAATTGAATGTGTGTTTATTCTCTTATTTTTTCACTATATGTTCACCATTCAGTTACTAACTAAGCTAAGTACGGTATAGACTATAGCAATTAAGTAATTATTGCACCTGGTCAAATTCCTGTTTTCACACATTTTTTAATTACCTGTAATTCAGATGTGTGCAAAACGGGAACAAACCAAACTAAAGTAGTATTGAATAATATAATTAAAATTAATTATACATGTGTTCATTAAAAAAAAAATACATTTCAATTTTTATATATTTGCAACAAATTGCAGTCATGTCTCACTTAGAATTTTATAGTCTAAAGAATAATTTTTTTGTTTTTTTTTTCGTATTAGACTGTAGCATTTCCATTATTTCATAAAATATGCAATAAACAATTTAAAGCTGCAGATGGATATTTGATAAGCTCTAACACAGCCAGTTTAGAATGATATAATGTATTATTTGTTTTAATTAATCCCTACACTGTAAATCTCTTAGAGATGTATGTACAATATTTTAAACATGATAAGAAATGGAAATTTGATCATTGAAATCTGTGTCAATCTGTTAATCAAGGTTACTTGATTTTCTTGCAACCTAACCAATTTATGATTATTGAACAATATTTGATGGGCGTATCATGCTGTGGCGAGGCACTTTATTAGACAATAGTGAACACCTCTTACTAGATCCATAAAATATTTCTGAATTGGCACCTACTCTGAAAAACCCAGCGGGGGTATTTGTCCCTATTGGACAGTTCAATTTGTTTATATAACAAATATCACTTCAATGCCTGCGTTTAAAACACTGTATTTCAGTCGGAAGCATTCGTGAAAAGGTCAATTACAATCAAGAAATTTATCGATGGATACCTGAACTGTTTTTTTTACTAGAAGCCAATTTTTTGACACTAAATTCGCTTGGGTATGACCCAGTTTTGTTTAGGTACATACTGACACACGCTTGGTATACATGCATAACTTCATAACACGCTTGGAATTAATTTAAAAAGGAAATAATCAGATAATTATTAAAAGATTAAAGGATGACTGCACTTAACGCCGGTTTTTGGGTCTTTTTCAATCTCTGTTGTCACATTTATTTTTGTTTTTAGCTCACCCGAGCCGAAAGCTCAAGTGAACTTTTCTGATCACATTTTGTCCGGCGTCCGTCTCTCCGTCTGTCTGTCTGTCCGTAAACTTTTCACATTTTCGACTTCTTCTCATCAAGAACAACTGGGCCAATTTCGACCAAACTTACCAGAAAGCATCCTTGGGTGAAGGGGATTCAAGTTTGTTCAAATAAAGGTCATGCCCTTATTCAAGGGAAGATAATTGAGAAATAGTGAAAATTTGGTGGTATGTTTTAAAAATCTTCTTCTTAAGAACCACTGTGCCAGGAAAGTTGAAACTTATGGGGAAACATCCTCTGGTAGTGTAGATTCAAGTTTGTTCAAATCATGTCCCCCGGGGGTAGGGTGGGGCCACAATGGCCGACCAAAGTTTTACATAGAAATATATAGGAAAGTTCTTTAAAAATCTTCTTCTCAAGAACAGCAAAGCCATAATTGCTCATATTTATATGGAAGCATCCCCAGGTAGTGTAGATTCAAATTTATTAAAATCATGACCCCCCGGGGGTAGGGCATGGCCACAATGGCCGACCAAAGGATTATATAGATATATATTAGAAAATTCTTTAAAAATCTTCTTCTCAAGAACAGCAGAGCCATAATTGCTCATATTTATATGGAAGCATCCCCAGGTAGTGTAGATTCAAGTTTGTTCAAATCGTGACCCCCGGGGGTAGGGCGGGGCCAAACTTTTGGATTCAAACTTTTCAATAGTAAACCAATTACTACATTTTCCTAGCCACAATGCTTGGGTGAGCGATGTGGCCCATGGGCCTCTTGTTATTTTTGCCTTAAGTCATTTGTTTAAGAGTGTGGTGTATTTCCAAATGAAATGTAATGTCCTAATGGTTATTAACTGCGTTGCAATAAAATAATACGTTGTTTTCTTACCCCATCTCTCTGCAAATATCGGGAAATTAGACTGATCTGCCCTTGATTGAAGATAAGATTTATAAATAAGCAGAAGAGGTGGGGCTATTATTGTAATGTGTGGTCTAAAATTAGAATAGGTACTGTATTTATATTTAGTGCATTTTTTCTCTCTGTCTCTCTCTCGTCATATGTTTGTCACTATCATTTTTTAAGTTTTCAAATGAAATATACAACTAATAACAAATAACATAGACCGGTAGAAGTAGTCATTGATAATCAACAGCAATGGCTAATGTCAACAATATTCGTGTTCGAATATAAGTGCCGACTACTTCAGTCGGTAATGCACAGAATCAATAATATGGAAGTCTTGGATCGAGACCCGATAACAACAGTAAGACGTACTTTATTTTTCCCTTTTTATAATAAAAAAAGAAAGAAAGAAAAACATCACAATTACTTAAGTTTTTTAGTATCTTTTATATTTACTTTTCCCCATACATTAGCGTGCTGAGGATGATATGATTTCATTTTTATTTACTGGATCTTATTTTGGATGCTCATGTTAAGCAATGGTTCAAAACATAATTAATAAATATCTTTTTTCGTGTAGACTGCAAACATGTAGAGGCATATAATACATTCAAAATATATAAAGGAGAATGGTGAACTTAGCGTGCAAAAAACCCACAAGCTTCAGATATATAAAAATCATATTCAAATTCTGATTTTAGTATTTAGAGTAAAGTTCTCATCATTGATTTTTGTAAAATCACGTTAAACAAAAAGTTCTGGGGCAAAATTTTCGTTAAAATTTATTCTTTTATCAAGAAAAATAATGTGGTATCCATTGGGTTCGAACCCTGGCAATAAAAATCCTGAGGTGCATTCTCTATTGAGACTAGCACGCTAACCACTACGCTACACAAGTCCTGATGAAGTGTGGCATTTAAATCATGCTTGTGATATGACCATGGACTTAAGGGACTTCAAGTATTTCTCAAAAAGATACGAAAGTTATGTCATAAACTTATATTTTTTAAGTATAGTGGGTCATTGCTCCATGATTTTGGAATACAAAATCTGTATGTTTTTATGCAATCTTTAAGGATTAACTTTCAAAAAAATGGAGAGAAGACCCACTCATAACTAAAAATAGTGTTATAGTGTGAAAAAATGACTCCTTTTGTTCTCTTTCGTGTGTGTATCATATTTCATCGGCAAATAACTTCAATTTTCATGAGATCTGTGCAAGTTGTAGAGATTTTACACAAATTATACTTTAATGTTAGATGAGATATTAAGGAAAATTTTGATAAAATTGAGATTAAATTTTCACCTTCATGATTGTTGCACTATGGGTTTATCTTTCGTCATTTTCACCCATCTCCTTTATATAAAAAAAGAGCAGTCCTTCAGCGGTCCCAGAGCAGTCCCTCAGCGGTCCCAGAGTAGTCCCCCAGCAGTCCCAGTGGTCCCAGAGAGCATTTAATTTAATAGGCGATGCTAACTCAGAAATGATATTTCCAATAAACAATGGAACTATAAAAGGCAGTAGAAATTGATTCTGGGTAGTATGCCAGGAATCCTTTCATATATGCATATGTCATTTATGAACATTACGGGCATAGAAACAAATTGAAATTATAATATTTATTGGAGGAAGAATTAAGGCTTTCACACCTACATATATGAATAACACTAATTAAACATGAATATTTAATCACAATTAAGTATGTGGCCCCAGGGTCTGTGGTTCCTGCCGGGTGGGGTTGGGTGCGCAATTGCATGGTTTAGAATGGAAGTGCATTTTTCTCTTAGTTACTCTAATCTACTTATGGGTGTTAAGTTACTATCGCTAAGTGTATAATTATGATAAGCAATAATGCCCCTTTCAAAATTGTGAATTTCATGGCCTTTGGTTTAAAACACAAACCAAATTCAATTGTTGGAAAGTTGTTACATGATACTCAGGTGACCTATAAGGCCCGTGGGCCTCTTGTAAAATTAGTGATTACCTCAGTTTGAAACAAACCATACAAAATATTCTTATCAAACTAAATATGCTAGCTGATATGTATTTGTGAGAACTATTCAACAGTTTCAAATAATGTTTGACCTTGACCTTTTCTTTGACCTTTCCTTTGACCTTAATCTCACTTTTCCAACATTTTCATTTTGCTTTGTTTTATAGAGAACTATTTAAGATATGTGTATCAAAAGCTCATGTACTTATACATTATTTGATGAGAATTTATCATATAATAACCAAATTTTTAGATCACCTGAGAAGAAGGCTCAAGTGAGCTTTTCTGATCAAAATTTTCCGTTGTCTGTCGTCATCGTTGTTGTCGTCGTAAACTTTTCACATTTTCATCGTCTTCTCAAGAACCAAAGGGCCAATTTCAACCATACTTGCCACAAAGTATCCTTAGGTGAAGGGGATTCGGGATTCAAGTTTGTTCAATGAAGGGCAAGCCTATCTCCAAGAGGATATATTTTTGAATTAGTGAAAAATTAATGACATTTTTCAAAAATCTTCTCACGAACCACTGTGTTAGGAAAGATGAAACTCATGTGGAAGCATCCTTGGGTAGTGTAGATTCAAGTTTGATCCAAGTTTTACAGAGGAGTATATAGGGAAATTCTTTAAAAATCCTCATGTAGTGTTGATTCAAGTTTGTTCAAATCATGACCCCTAGGGGTAGGGTGAGGCCACAATGGCCGATCAAAGTTTTACATAGGAGTATATAGGAAAAATCTTTAAAAAATTTTTTCTCAAGAACCACAGGACCAGAAATGATGAAACTCATGTGGAAGCATACTCAGGTAGTTAGAATAAAGCTTGTTCAAATCATGACCCCCAGGTGTAGGGTGGGGCCATAATGGCCGATCAAAGTTCTACATAGAAATATTTAGGAAAAAAATCATTAAAAATCTTTTTCTCAAGAACCACTAAGCCAGGAAAGATGAAACTTAAATCAAATCATCCTCAGGTAGTGTAGATTCAAGTTTGTTCAAATAAATTGACCCCTGGGGGTTTAGGGGGGGGGGCAAAATTTCTGATCAAAGTTCTACATAGGATTAGATTGGGAATTTTTTTAAAATCGTCTTCTCAAGTACTTTAAAGCCATGATTACCTCAGTGATATTTCTGTGGAATCATCCTCAGGTGTGTAGTAGCTGCAGAGCTGTAGCTCTCCGAAAAAAATATATATTGATAGACCAGAGAGCTACAGTGCCACCCATTGAACAAACTGTATATTTATTGCGCACAAAAAAGTGCGCTCATTTTTAGATTAATTCTTCCAAATTCTTACCTCAGTTGCAAAAAAGCTGGATTTCAATAAAGTCCTTACTCCTCTAGCAATTACTTTAAATTGTAGTTTACATCTGCACGAAGTACTTTGGACCGAATTATCTTGAAAACAAAATGGCAGTATAAAAAGGTGAAATATTAAAAACATTAAAATATATAAAAATAAAAAAATACTCTTCCCAAGAATAGCAAAGTCATGATTAGTAAACTAGTATTTGTATGGAAGATTCTCGGGTAGTGTAGAATTAAATTTGTTCAAATTATAACCCCCAAGGGTCGGGTGGTGCCACAATGGTGGATCAAAGAAAAATAAAGGAAAAAAAATCCCAAGAACAAAAAAGCTATGTTTAGTCATATTGACATTTAAGCATCCTCATGTATTGAAGATTTAAATTTATTCAAATCATGGCCCTTTGGGGTTGGGAGGAAAACAATGGGGAATCAAAGTCAAATTATCATGAAGTTATATATAGGAAGAAAATGTTTTTAAAAAATCTTTTTATCAAGAACAGCAAAGTTATAGGCTGTATTAATATGAAGACAATCTCAAGTAGTCTTAAAATTCAAGCCCCCCCCCCCTCCCATCCCTTCAGTGAACTTTTCAGTTCTGGTCTGATTTGTACTTTTTTCCTAGCCGATTTGCTCAAGTGAGCAATGTGGCTCCTGGGCCTCTTGTTACTTTTCAATTTCAATTTAATAAAGATACTATTTGATATATTCTAATCTGACTCATTCAGTCATACAAATTTAATGTTGCGTTAATAATATATCCTTGGCAGGACAGTCCTATGAACATATTTCTAGTTTAATTATATGTTAATTTATGAGTCGATGAAAATTATTTTTATTGTGTTATAACATTAAATCTATCAATATCCAAAGCATTGTTATGATGTCTCTTAACAATTATCACAGAACAGATCATCACAGAACCAATGCCCTGTGTCAGGGCAGGCATTAACTTGACAAAGAACCCACACTGCTGCAGCTCTATGGCCCTGATTGCAGAGTGATTGTTAAAAGTTTAAGCCCTGATGTCACCAGAATATGGTGACTTCTCTAAAGATATAGGCAAAAGTGGCTCACATAAGTTTCATGTGAATTTTTCACATAGAAAGACATGAAAAGCAAAACATGTGAAATATATATGAAAACTTCATGTGATTTTTACACAAATTTCATAGGAATTTTGAATGAAGAGCATATTGTATAAATATCACGCAAAGAAAACTTCACATGAATGTTAAAAAAATATTTATATGAATATCATACAAACTTGTATTAACATGATATTCACATAAAAATATATTTATATAATTTTCATATTATTTTTACATAATTTTCACATAAAAAGATAATCACATGAACATCACATTAGCCACTTTTCCCTGTGATATATGAGTAAAAGAATATTGCATGGGACATATAACAACTTCCAATCAATCAATGAAAAGACTGGGTAAAGTCTGTCAGACCTGCGACTTTTTACATCACTGTTACACAATATACCTTACACACATGTACATTTTTCTGTAATGTATGCTTCAGAAATCATTTCATTCTTCTTAGACTAATGCAGCAGATTCCTGTGAAACCACTAGGAGGACTGTAGTACGAGTCAACAAATGTCCAGAAAATAAAGTTGAGTGGATGGAGGCATCTCACAAGAAGAACTGCTCTGCTCTTGCTGGTTTATGCTCAGAACCAAAAAGATTTGTCTACCATTGTGTCTTAAATCCCTTTGTGAATGAAACTCTGGAAGTCTGCGCATATTCAAGAAAAATATTTCTAGGTTTGTAAACTAGTAAAATGGATTAGTTTAGGTCACGTGTCTTTTCCACCTGTCTCATGATTTACATTAAATTATACAGAGTTAAAGTGTTACATAATTTTTCCAGAAGCTAAAAAATAATTATTTTTTAGGAGGCTAGGTGGTCAACAAAATTTTTTTTTTTATTAACCACCAGATATAACTTAAATTTTGGGATATGATATTTTAAGCTATCAACTTTCATTTAGCAAAGAAAAATTTCATAAATTTTTATTTTAAAATTTGATCATTTTATTATATCTTTATATGGAGCTCTTCTTCTAAAGGAGATCGAAATAGTCTAAAAATGGCCACGACCACCCAGCCCTTTAAAACTTGTCAAACTTGGGAAAGTGTGCAAAGACATGGAAAAAAAACCAATAAGGTCAGCTGAGTTATGCTTGTGTCCTTTTAATTTGTTATCTGTTTCTCATCATTTGTTCTCCATTTGGTGCACCATCCACTATACACTATTATTTAAACAACTTCAATATTTTTTTCTGGATCTACTGCTCCAAATTCAAACTACTTTTATTATAAAGCATCTATGGGCAAAAGGAAACTTTTAAAGTTGTGAATGTTATGGTCTGACTCTAATCAACCTCCTCAAAACTCCCAGGGCTAGGGTTATTGGCCCAAAAATATGATAATGTTTGTTTGTTGTTCAAAACTATGAAAATGAATGCATTCTTCAAAATCTTATTTCTTTTTCCTGAAATCAAGCAGTCAAACTATTGGCATGTCTTGTAATAAGCATTGTGCCCAGTCTACCATTTTAGCTCACCTGAGCCAAAGAGCAAAAGGCTTGATTTAGCTTTTCCGATCAGAATTTGTCGGTTGTCTATCGTCGTTGTCTTCCTTGTTGGCGTTGTAAACTTTTCACATTTTCATCTCTTCTGGACCAATTTCAACCAAACTTATCCAGTTGGTAAAGGGAATTCAAGTTTGTTCAAATGAAGGGCAACGCCCTCTTCCAAGGGGAGATAATTATGAATTATTGAGAAATTATAAGCGTTTTTAAAAAATCTTCTTCTCAAGAACCACTGGGCTAGGAAAGATGAAACTCATGTAAAATCATCCTCAGGTAATGTAGATTTATGTTTGTTCAAATCATGACTCCCATGGCAAGGGTGGAGCCAAAATGGGCAATCATGGTTTTACATAGGAATATATAGGAAAAATCTTCTTCTCAATTACCATTTGGACAGGAGAGATAAAACTCATGTTGAATCATCCTCAGAGAGTGTACATTCAAGTTTGTTTAAATCATGACCCTCGGGGGTAGGTTGGGGCCACAATATTCCGATCAAAGTTTTAAAGAAGGAATATATAGGAAAAATCTTCTTCTCAAGAACTATTTGGGGAAGGGTGGGGCCACAATGGTCAATCAAAGTTTTACATAGGAATATATAGGAAAAATCTATAAAAATCTTCTTCTCAAAAACCATTGAAACAGGAGAGATGACACTCTTGTTGAATAATCCTCAGACAGTGTGCATTCAAGTTTGTTAAAATCATGACCCACTGGGGTAGGGTGGGGCCACATTGGCCGATCAAAATTTTACATACTAGAAATATTTAGGAAACATCTTTAAAAATCTTTTTCTCAAGACTCATAGAGACAGGAAACATGAAACTCATGTTGATTCTTCCTCAAGTAGTGTACATTGGTGTGTGTTCAAATCATGACCCCGGGGGTAGGGTGGGGCCACAATGGCATATCAAAGTTTTACATAAGAATACTGTAGACGTACTTTTTTCCACGGGGTCATAATTCCGCGGAATCTCAATTTTTGTTTGATCCGCGGGTAGAAAATTACGCGGATCTCTCAGACTGTAACTATATGCCTTTCATTATTATTAGATACGCTTGGACAAATTTCCGCGGAAAATTTGTGACCGCGTACATAGCGTAAATTAATACCACGCGGAAAAAAGTACTTCTACAGTATATAGGAAAAAATCGTTAAAAATCTTCTCAAGAACTCTCTTTCTATAAGATGCATTCTGCATTTTCCTAGCCGATGTGCTCAGGTAAGCGATGTCGCTCCTGGGTCCTTATGAAATCTTATGTTCATAGTCAGGGGTTGTAATTTAGGGTGAGGCTCACAAATTGAACATATGCTGAAAATCCTTAACTCAAGGCCACATTTTCAAAATTTGAATTTGCACTAAGGAAAAATTGCAAGGATGCAATTTTTTGTTGGCTTTCTCACAGTATTTCTAATTTACAGCTTTCCATTTCAGTAATTTTGATAAAGTTTCAAGTATTTGTACATAGATATATGTAACTGTAAGCTGAAGCTTTAAATGTCTGTACTTCATCTGAAAATCTGAATAAGTTATAAATGAAGGTCAAATATTTGAATTGTAGGCAGATGTACGGAGTACACTGTTCGAGGAAATCTAATCCAGGGGAGTCGAGAACTCTGTGTATCATTTCCAACCTCCTGTCCAAAGATCTACGCTTCAACAAATGCATATAGATGTATGTCTTTTTAAATATTAATCACATTATATTTCCCACTCTTTTCAGTGAGAACTTTTAAGAGAAGTATAACTAAAATGCAGTGTGTTAATATTTTTTATACCTGACCCTTTGGAAATGAGGTTTGGGGTGGTGTATCTCATATCGGCCTGCCCATCTGTCTGTTTCCCTGTTTCCCTTCTATTGATCTGTATGATTTTGTCACAACATGTACTTGGAGACTATTGCATGGATTTGTCCGAATATTTGTCACTCAGTATTTACTACCCCCTGAACATATGGTAGAAATGTGCATCTAGTATTTTTCATCATGATTGGATAATTATTCAATTATCTTTAGAAAAAAAAATCTTTATTTAACATTTTCTTCTCCGACTCAACGGATTCTCGTAATTGAAACGATCGATCAAGGTCCAGGAATGGATGGAAGTATTGTTTGATATTTAGTTCCTAGTCTCAGTGTATACTTTGTATATCTAAAGATACCATATATGGGCCTCCTGCTAGTCATAAAAATAATTTTTTGGTCCAAAAAAAAATCACCATTGTAACAGTTAAAGAAAATCATCAATGTATTGAAACCAACAGTTCTTGGCACATCTGAGCCAATAAAGCTTTTGTGATCATGATTTTCACAAAGCATCCTTGAGTAAAAGGAATTTTTTTTTCAAATGACCAAGCCTTTTTTCAGGGATAGATAATTAAAAAGTGGAAATTGTTGACCATGTTTGAATATCTCAAAAATACCGAATTAGGAAAGATGAAACTCATATGGAACCATCCTCAGGTAGTGTAGATTCAAGTTTGTACAAATCTGGACACCCAGGGTTAGGTTTGGACCACAATATACGATCAAAGGCCACAATATACGATCAAAGTTTTACGTAGGAATCTATAGGAATTTTTTAAAAATCTTCTTCTCAAGAGCAACAAAGTCTTGACTGGTTAGATTTATAGGGAAACATCTTTGGGTAGTATATACATGTATGTAAATTCAAGTGTCTTTAAATCATGACCCCATAGGGTAGATTAGGGCAAAAATGAAAATTCAAACTTATAGGGAAAAAGCCCAGTTAGGTCAAAGAAATATGTTAGCATCCTCAGTTTGTGTAGATTTATGTAAATTCAAAACACACCTCATCTCTTTTAGGGGCAAGTCAGGACAACTTATGCATTTAAGTTTTTCAAGACCGGGTTGTTCTAGTCAAAGTACTCAATTGAGCAATGTGGCGCATGGGCCCTTTGTCATCTTTGTAAAATACTTAAGTAAATCTTGTATGTAAAAAAAAATTTAGCCATGATTAATAATATTCATTTCGAAGCACCTTCAGGTAGTGCATCATCGGAAATCCACGGGTGATCTCGTCTTTACTTATCACCCGTGGGCAAACTCGCCAAAAAATTGTCGTGTGTAATTAAATATGCACGAGTCATTTGATTGGCCGCATTACAAAGTCGCGATGCGTAACAACGAATCACAGTTCACGTTTCGTATGCAAGTTCGGCATTGCCAAAAACATGAAAAACTCATTCCGTAGTTAACACAGCTGATAAATCCACTCACTGGTGCATTTTGCAGTTAGAAAGAGGTACTCCTTCATAATATCTGACGAATATTAATGTGTTTTAAATCAAACTTCGCATATTGTAACGAGCATCAAAATATTTACTATAAATAGCAAAATAATAAACGTTCTTATCAAAATTGAAGAGTTCCAACTTTTTGATTGGTTGACTAAAAACAACAAATAAAGCATATTTTACGGCGATATTTTGGCGAGTTTGCCCACTGCATGGTGATAAGTAAAGACGAGATCACCCGTGGGTTTCCGATGATGCAGGTAGTGTACACTGAGTGGCCAAAAGTATTGCAACAAACATGGCTGACGTCATCATGTTTAACGCGCTTCAATTTTTGTTTTCAATATTGACGCATAACGAAATAGATTTAGAATATAAAACTCGGGGTGTGAATTAGTCGGGGTGTGATTTATTTTCGGGACCGTTTAAGTTTTAACTTGAGCAGACGATTTCCGGTGTGTTGTAAACGTAAATAATGTCGAAGAAAAAGAGAGAATTGTCAACCGATTTAAAGGAGCGGATCGTACTATTAAACTCAAGGGGATTTAACAACAATAAAATAAGTGAAGCATTGGGAATCCATCGAAGTACAGTGGGGCGAGTTTTGTTAAAATTTGAACGTAAAGGAAGTGTAGAAAACAACCCCCGAAGTGGAAGGCCCCGAGTGACAGATGAGAGGGGTGATCGGAAACTTTTTCGAATTCTAAAAACAAATCGCCGACAATCTCTGGGAGATATTACATCAACGTTCAACAAAATTGAACTAACAAACGTGTCTAGTAGAACCATTCGACGAAGATTACACCTAGAAGGATACAGGCGGGGGAAAATCAAAAAAAACTTTGACAATATGTAAAACTAACCGTCAACGGAGAATACTGTGGTGCCGAAGCAAAAGACATTGGAATTCTGATCATTGGCAAAAAGTCATATTCTCAGACGAAGCACAGGTAGTTATTGGACAAAATACTTTTGTGAGTTTATGGAGAAAATCGTTCGAGAAGTGGAAGCTCTACTGCCTCAATCAACGGAAAACGCCAATCAAAGTAAGTTGTATGTTTTGGGGTTGTATCACCTACGATGGTATTGGTGTTCTTGTGCCAGTTGATGGAAATCTTAATTCTATAAAGTATATAGAATTGCTGGATAATCACTTATGGCCAGTTATTGCTAAAGTGTTTGGAGATCGCCAGTTTATTTTCCAAGATGATAATGCAACACCACACGCATCTAGACAGACCAGTGCATGGAAACAAGAAAACGGTATTCAGAAATTTAGCTGGCCTGCCCAGTCCCCAGACCTTAATATAATCGAAAATGTCTGGCGTTGTATTAAAATCAAACTATCCCGTGAGATTGACAACATTCAAAACAAGAACGACTTGGTGGCTGCAGTTACTAGAATCTGGAATGGACTTTCCCAGACGTACATTCGCAGCCTGTATGCTTTGATTCCTTCCAGACTACAACAGGTTATCATCCAAAAAGGCTACGCAACAAAATACTAAAGAAATATTGTAAGTAAATAACTTTTATTTTATAAAAAATCGGTTTTTTTCTTATCCATTCCATATTACATCATGATGACGTCAGCCATATTTGTTTGTTGCAATACTTTTGGCCACTCAGTGTAGATTCAAATTTGTTCAAACCATGACCTAAATGGGACGGGAGGGGCCAAAAAGGACAATCAAAGTTTAAAACATGTATTGGAATATATTAGAAAACAAATAATTAAAAGTCTTCTTTTCAAGGAAAACGAAGCTAACACTTGTCTTATTAGTCATATCTGTCATCTTCCTGAATATGTTTGATAAAGTATTAACGCAAAACAAAATAAACGCAAAATATGTGAGATAAACACAAAATAAGATAATTAAAACATGTGTGTGTGTAATGATCCTGAAAGGATACACGCACACATGTTTTAGGATACACGCTCAAAAGGGCATGATAGAATTGTCAAAAATAATGTTGCAGGTACTGTGTATTGGCATGTCATGGCAGAGTCATAATAAGTCATTAATATGCAAGCATGATTCCTATTTGTAAATCTGAAAATCTATACTTGAGGATCTTTAACTGAATTTGTGATTACATTGTTAAAGAATTGACAGGACTTATTTAAAGCAAAAATATAAGATAAGAGATACAATAATCATTGTTTTTATCTTAGACCAAGAATGCTACAAACTAGTTCAGAGACCAACGACAAGCCCAACAACAGCCATAAATACACTCATGCCATCAGTAGTCAGTAAAGAAGTACCTCTGAACATTTCAAAGTCTCTATACAGAATTACCAGTATAAACAGAGATATTACCATGGCTACTGTGAAAATAAATAGAGACAGGTATGTACAGATATTTCTTCAAACAGTCAGAGGCATGATGACAAGTTATATATAGGGTCCCACAAGAAAATGTGGGAGCTATAGACACATGTCCATCTAGGCGTCTCTCTGTCCATTAACACTTTTACAATTTTGGGTGACCCAATAACTCGAACAGTTTCCAACAATTTTTTTTTACCTTTGCACCTAGTAATTTTTTATCTATACATCTGTTTCCAGTCCATCTTTTCTCAATGCATCTGTTCCTCAACACTTTTAAATTTGTTGTATTACAGTAAATAAAACAGTTTTCATTGAAAATCTGTACTTGGCACTTGAAGCCTCTAAGCATGTGACACTTGACCTTTCTGTCCCCCATCTCATTCACAGGACTTCTCTCAACGTCCATTGTGACAAAAAAATCATATCCTTACACCAGGATTCTATAGCAAACTCAGAATACTGCATGGCGCTTGCAACTAGCATCCAAGTTTGTATAAATCATGTCCCTGTAGATTAGGATGTGGCCACAAAGGACAATCAAAGTTTTACATAGACATACTAAGGGAATCAGATTGTTAAACCTATTGAATGTTTGGGCCACAACAGGGGATCAAAGATTTACATTGTAATACATAGGTAAAATGTTTAGAAATCTTCTTGATATCAAGAACACCAACATTTTGATTGTTCATATTTTAAAGGAAGCATGCTCTGATGAAAGTGTGAAACCAAGTTTGATCACGTCAAGTAGATTCAGACATGTTCACAATCATGACCCTCGGTTGTAGGGTATGTCCTTCTTGGAAGAGAAAACAGAGATTAAAATCACGATCAGTCAAAGAAATATGAAAGCATCATCATTCATTAGCTAGTGAAGGCTTAAGTTTATTATACACACCGCTTGAAAAGTGGAAGGGTATGTTGTGATTGAAATGCCTTTCCATCCATCTGTCTGTATTCCTGTTATCCTTCCTTCATCCTCCTTTTGGGTACTTACATGTATCTCTTGTCTGCAACTTCTCTTATACTACTGAATTAAATCTAATAAGATTTTCACAATTTCTTTGTTACATAATGCCATTGTGCAACTCTTATATTACTATTTGATCTGACACATATATTGGATTTATTGTAGCAAAACATAGACACTACATGTATCATTCTTTCTATAATATTGAAGGGTTACCATCTCTTATCCACAGCTTTTCCTTTACCACTGATTTTATTGAAACTTTTACAGATTCTTCATGACATTAGACCAATTTTACTCTTAGATCCAACACTTTTATTTTTATAATCTATAATACATTACTATTGTAAAAAGCTTTAGCTATCATTGCAACACTTCCTGGCTGAGGAGCGGATATTTTAAATTTTTATTTTAAAAGGTTCAAATTTAGTATGTGTTGAACAGGCAATAGGACAATTTTTATGCTAAGTTTTTTTTTTTTTTTTTTTTTGCTTTATTGCTTAGAACTGGGTACATGTATATTCCTTTACTTTATATAAGAATGAATAGACAATGAGAGATTTACTATAACTGCAAAGAATGTTCCTGTTGAAAAAATATTAAAGTTGCAATGAGATCTTTCGGATTTTTTTTTTCGCATGAGCAACCAAAGGGGGATAACTTTTGGAACCTCATGTCCAAATATGATTTGAAAGATTTTTTAAATACAGTACACAGTATGTATCTGTCACGGGGGTTAAATACCAAATCCATGACGTCATAAATATTGATCAGTATGAGTAGAGTGAAAGTGAAACTTAATGAGAATTTTTAGCTCACCTCAACGAAGTTGGGGGAGCTTATGTAATACCCCCGGCGTCGGTGTCCCAGGTTAAGGTTAAGTTTTTTGGAGCAGTTTTCTTTTTAACTACTTCTGTGTCCTATATGGATTAGACATGCATGGAAGATGCTTCTAATGTGTTTCATTGTACCAGTCAAAGTTTCAGATGCTGCAATTTCAGCAAAGAAATGACCAGGTTAATGTTTTTGGAGCAGGTTAACATTTTTGGTGCAGTTTTTAGCTCACCTGAGCCAAAGGCTCAAGTGAGCTTTTCGATCAAAATTTGTCTGTTGTCTGTCGTTGTAGTCGTTGTTGTCGTCGTCCTAAACTTTTCACATTTTCATCTTCTTCTCAAGAACCACTGGGCCAATTTCAACCAAACTTGCTACAAAGTATCCTTGGGTAAAGGGGATTCAAGTTTGTTCAAATGAAGGGCCACGCCATTTTCCAAGGGGAGATAATTATGAATTAGAGAAAAAATTAATGACATTTTTTAAAAAATCTTCTTCTCAAGAACCACCGAGCCAGGAAAGATGACACTCATGTGGAATCATCCTTAGGTAGTGTAGATGCAAATTCGTTCAAATCATGACCCCCAGGGCTAGGGTGGGGCCAAAATGGCCGATCAAAGTTTAACAAAGGAATATATAGGAAAAATCTTTAAAAATCTTCCCGAGAACCATTGAGACAGGAAAGATGAACTCATGTAAAATTATCCTCAGGTAGTGTAGATTTATGTTTGTTCAAATCATTACCCCATGATTAGTGATATTTATATGGAAATAACCTCAGGTAGTGTAGATTCTAGTTTGTTCAAATCATGAACCCCCGGGGGTTAAAATTCAAGCCCCCCCCCCCACCTCAGTAAACTTTTAGTTCTGATCTGATATGTGCTTTTTCTTAGCCGGTGTGCTCAGGTGAGCGATGTGGCCCCTGGGCCTCTGGTTGGTGTAGGTTTCATTCCCAAGTAACTATAAGCCCTATGTTGACCAAACTTGCATGGATGATACATCTAAGGCTTGCTTCGGTTGCTGAATCTGGCCTACATTTTCTGGTTGAGTGAACAGGTTAAAGTTTTTGGTGCAGATTTCAATTCCAAGTAACTGTAAGCCCTATGTTGACCAAACTTGCATGGATGATACATCTAAGGATGCATACTACCAGGCTTGCTTCGGATACTGAGTCTGACTTACATTTTCCGGTTGTGTGAACAGGTTAACATTTTTGGTGCAGGTTTCATTTCCAAGTAACTGTAAGCCCTATGTTGACCAAACTTGCATGGATGATACATCTAAGGATGTACACTACTGGGCCTGCTTCTGATGCTGAATCTGACCTACATTTTCTGGTTGAGTGAACAGGTAAAAAGTTTTTGGTGCATGTTTCATTTCCAAGTAACTATAAGCCCTATGTTGACCAAACATGCATGGATGATACATCTAAGGATGCATACTACTGGGCTTGCTTCGGATGCTGAATCTGACTTACATTTTCCAGTTGAGTGAATAGATTTAAGTTTTTGGTGCATGATTCATTTCCAAGTAACTATGAGTTCTTTAATGACCAAACTTGCATGGATGATACATATAAGGATGCATACTAACAGGGTTGCTTTGGATGCTGAAACAGACCTACTTTTAATGGATGAGTGAAAATGTTAGTTTTTGATGCATGTTCCATTTCCAATTAACCATGAGCCCTATAATGAGCAAACTTGCATGGACGACACATCTTAGGATGCAAAATTAATGAACTTGCTTCAGATGCTGAATTCGACATACAATTTTCAGATAATAGACCAGGTTAAAGTTATGGGTGCAGGTCTATTACCAAAAACTATTAGGCTTACATAACATTGTATAAACCAAACTTGCGCAAATGTTGCATCAAGAGATGAAAACTCTCAAATTTGCTTCAGATGGCTGGATTTTAATTTCATTTTCATGAAGAAGAACTATTTTAAATTTTTTTATGTAGGTCTATTTCAAAGTATCAGATTAAAATTGCTTAAATATTTTCATTTTTGGAATGTACACTTTTTGTTGGTTAATTGTGTGACTTTGCCTTACTTAAAGACAACATTCGATGAGGTGAGCTCTTGAATCTCTGATTACTTATGTTTGTTTCTACAACATGTCCTTGTTTTATAGTTTTTGGAAAGTGCTGCTAGAATCATGTGGTTTAAGGGTTTTAGTAAATTATTTCGATCTAATGTTCAAAATGGAAAAATTTGGTAAGGTTTCATTCATAAGTGTTGAATGACGTTTTCTGTGATAGGATTGTCACGACAGCCGTCGTGCTCTGTTCAGTCAGACACAACAAGATTAATATTTTTTTAATCTATAAATAAAATAAATAAAAACAATATTTACAACATATTTTTACAGCTATTATTTACAATAAATAGAACTTAAAGTCTTTTATAGTTAATATCGTTGGCTCAGAACCACGTCCACGCAGACACGCCCCGTTTCACGACGGACTCCCGCCAACTGGCTCCCAGTGGGTATCCCGGTCTGGTTAAGGCCGTCACCAACACACACATGCGCAGCACAGTTAAGGTTACAAATGGAAATATCGGCGATTTTTTAAGATAAAAAATACATACTTTATTAGGATGGGCGATTATTTTTAGGAATTAACTGATATCAAAAAAATGAAATGTGGTTTAAATCTACATGTTGGGGACATTTAGATTTTTTATATAGACTTGTCATGTGTGTCGACGTCACATGACTTTGGCAATTATACTCACAGTTTAGAGGTCATCTATAAATTTCAATATTGGAAGGGCATAACCAAGTTAAAAATCTTAGTTTAATTTATAATACTTTTCAAAACTATATATAATTTGTGAAAGGTGTTGTGAACCTATATAGATTCCCTTTTTAATTGCTAAAATTTAATTTGTTGGACGGCAGGTTGAATATTTTGATGGTCAGCTACATTAAATATAGCTATAATTAATTTATTTGCAAGCTTTCACGAGATTCGCAGCACTTTCAAATATCTTAATGCTTCTTGAGTTTTGTGTAAAATTTTGGCAAGATACATTGAAAGTATGCCCTTGCAATAAATCGATTTATTAGGGCCCTTTTGACTCCATTACTTTTTCAATGAATCTGCATAGAAACACACGACAGTATCGCTTGTTTGGAGAATCCACGTATATTTTATAAATAAAATACTAAAATAGACATCGCATCCAAGTTAACGGCTTTTTTATTT